AGTTGTGTGACATCCCTAAAGCACAATTCTGTGTTAAACTTTCAGATAAAGAACTAAGTCAATTAGTAAATCAACATGCAAACCTCAAGCTATGCGAGTTTTCTACAGGAATTACCTTCCAGCTCCTGAAAAACAAATATCTTGATAACTTGGGTCAGGACCATGGATTTGCTTGAGGGACTGAATTTGCCTCTTAATCTGCACATTTGCCAACCAAAAGATTTACCAATACTTGATGGTTAAAAGAGGGTGTCTGGTAAATAGATGACAGCAAACCGAAAAACCTCCCTTAAATCATTTCCTCAGGTAAATAGTTCAATTTTTTTCCTCTTAAGTAAACAATGAATCACCTTTTCCATTTACTTTTATAGTCAGAAAAAGAAAAGAAAAAAACCCTTGACCTTTTGATAGGTATCAGGATCAGCTAGATTTTAGAAGTATTAACACAGAGGAAGAAACTCAAAAGATGAAGACTTACAGCATCCTTGAACGCATGAAAAGCATCCTTTGGAAGGTACGCATAAGTAGTTCCACTATCCAATACAGTTCCATGCTTGCCATCAAAGATCTTGGGATTTAACTTCAAAGGTTTGCCGGCCACATGTATTTTCTTCAGGTCAATGTTGTAATATGGACTGTTTCAATCCCAAAACTAAAGTATATGTGTGAGATGCACAAAATACATTCTTCATGAAAATAAGTTTGAATTTATTGGTAATATAAAAGTCTGCACCTGCGAAAGCGATCTGAGTGAGCAAATACCATATCAGGGGGAGATTTCATCCCGCCAAGAACCATGGCACCCCCTCCTACACCCATCCCTCCGTAGCATAATGAGAATGAATCACTAATAACACCCTTGTCAGCAAGTTGATCCATCACACTAAGTTGACCACGACCCAAACCGATAATTCCATCAGCACGTTGACTGTAAAGATCACCAGTTTCAACATTTTCACAACCAAAAACAGCACGCTGGGGCACAAGCACACTCTCATTACCAAATGAAATGACGTCCTCACCAAGCACCCCACTACTAGAGCTCATCTCAGCATACCGCCGCTCATAAGTGCATTGAGCTTCTTTCCTGTCACAGTTACAATTGATATTGCACTTCACAGGTTGATATGTACTAGATAAATGAGGCTGGAACCTGGGGTCCTGCATAACAAAACCAATTTAGCTTCGATACAAATGAGTTAATTCAAATATATCCAAACATACAGAGAATCTGCAAGCAGTTAGTTAGGACTTCAACACACGAGTTGAATAAACCATCTACCTACGCAGAATGATTGACAAAAGGAGTCGGAAAAAAGGAAGTGTTCAGCTCCAAACAAAAAAAGAACTAAGAACCCATTTGGTGAAGTTCTATTTTTAATTCCGGAAATCCGAAAACAATTCTCCGATTCTTTCTTGCTTTTAGCACATGGAAAAGAAACTGAACACATTACTAGACTACAGCTAAACTAACGAATGTGATTCGCATTGTTTTAGACCCTACCTTCTTAATCTTAAGAAGCATACTAAACTTTATACTGAATTTCAATCAAGAATAGTAAACAACAATTATCGAGCTTTTATTGCTCCAAACAGCTGAAGTCAATCCTAAACCCCACTCGAACATTTCTGCGATGCAATTAACATTATTCGGATAGCATCCCAAACTAGAGGTATAGAAAATTGTAAAAACTAAAAGATATTACTGTATGATAGACAGGCAAAACCTAATTGCAGACTTAACGACTAATAACTAGAATTAAGCACGGAAATGAAGCCGAACCTGATGAATACCACACTGTTCACAGTCAAAGCAAGGCACATAAGTAACAGTACTTCCCGTATCCACAATCAGCGCGAATTGCTGCGGCGGCGTCCCAATCCACACCCGCGTCGTGTAGTACCTGTTTCCAATTCCAAGTTCCACGACCTTAAAATCATCACATAATTCGAAATATCAAAAGATACAAAATTTGGGAGGAAAGGCAAACCCGTTGGCGAGAAGATCGTCGTATAGCCTCATGTGAGCGTTGGGCACCGATCTCTGGAGCCGCCGGCCGTCGGGTCGCCTGTGGTGCCAATTGGATATGGGAGTCGAGAGATGGAGAGGGAGGATCATCGGACGGCGCTGATCGTCGGAGAGTGAAGCAAACACGGCGCAGAGGTTCAGCAGCAGGGAGTAGATGAGAAGGAGCGAGGTCCGCCGAGCCATGGCTGCTGCCTACTACGACGGAGGCGTAGAGTACTTTTGTCCTCCGTGGTCACACGGTTCAAAAGCAGTGCTTCACAAATGGAATTTCTTTGGACCTGAATTTACTTTTAATTTTTAGACGGCGGAATTGGCGGCGATTTGAATTATACGGCGGTAAAGATACTTTTGGGTCAAGGTCAACGGAAAAAAAGGTACTGATACGTGGGAGGGACGGAACAGAGTGCGACGAGGCATTCCGTCTCATGTTTGGTATGCTTAAAACGGGTGGAACGTGCTATTCTACAAAACGAATTTTGGGTAAATTTTCGTTCCGCCTCACTCCCATGAAACGACTCGTTCCACATCCGTGGAACACAAAATTATAACCTCTTCGTCTCCTTCTTCTTCCTCCTTGTTTCGATCCGAGGGCATCTTTGCTCCCTTTCCGTTCCATCCGTCCCATTTCCTTCCATCTTGTACCAGTGGCGGATCCAGGAAATAATATTAGGGGGTCAGCAAATTTTTTTATACCAAAAATAGCATGCATATCGCCATTTCATCAAGTTCTGATAGGCCTAAAGTCATTGGAAATGCATACTACACACCTGTTAATGTATGCAAAGGGCAGCACCCAAGGTATTCATGGACATTCATCGGGTTTTGATAGGCCTGAAGTCGGTTAGAAGGCATGTATGAAGCCAACTCTAATCTTCAAAATGGCAGCACTCAAGGTATTTATGGACATTCATTGAAATTCGGAGGGTCAGCATCTAAGGTATCTATGGATGTTCATCCAAGTTCGGGAGGTCAGCTGACCCCAAGGAAGAAAATATCGGTAATATCGGAAATATCGGTAGTCTGAAAACACGGAAATATCGGGATAATATCGATATCGATAAAAATTACATGGAAACCACGGAAATTGTAAGAAAAACTTGGAAATTTTTATTGAAACTTTGCAGGATGTTTATTTAGTCAATTATCTATTAGTTTATCACAAAAAATTGGAAGGAAATGCATTGCATGATGGATTTAACTGATTTAAGTTGATTATATAGCGAATTGGCAAACATTGTGAATGTAGAAAATATGTAGTAATTAATGAAAGAAGTTTAAACACACCATAATTATTTATATATAATGAATTAGTACAATATTTTACACTTTATACATTGCATGGTAAGATACATGAGTGACTTAGTACCACATAGAGTTCCTATGAGGTTCAAAATTTTCACTATCTTCATCATCTCTATTTGTAGAGTAAATGTATTGTGAAGAGTAGTCAGCAACCATGACAATGGTTTTCAAGAACCAAAACCCAAAAGTCAATAGGAAACCGAATACTTCGGTATTTTTCGGGATTACCAAACAAATGGGATTTGGAAACCAATCCCATATCGAAAATTTCGGTATTTTTCGGGATGGGATTCCCGAACTTCAGGATGGTTTTGGTTTGGGATTTTTCGGTTTGGGTTTGGGGATTTTTCGGTTTGGTTTGGGATTTTCGGGAATTTTTCCAGCCGTACCATGTAAGTGACCAAATAAAAAATAGAAAAATTAAAAACCACATGCCATTAACTAAGTAATTAATTGACACAATTTAAAATATAATACCACAAAAAATTTGGAATATGTGCAAATTTGTTTCTTGTAAAAAGAATTCAAAACAAAACAATATATATAAATATAGTAGCATATTATCACAACAACCATAAGTGATATGGTGGTTAAGGTGTTAAGAGTCAAATGGGAGGGGGTTCGAATCCCTTTAGTTTCAAAATTGAGACTTTTCAGAAAATTTTAACTAATAATATAGTAGCATATTACCAATAATATCGATAATATCGCGATATTATAAATAATATCGCGATATTTTGACGAAAACTCATTGGATACTCATTAAAATATCGGTAACCGAAAAAAACGATTCGCCGATATTTTCGATATTTAAATCCATGGCTGACCCCCATTGCCCCTTAATGGATCCACCAGTGTCCCGTACCGTCTGCATACCAAAATGAACAAGGATTTTCTCACCCTCCTCTTTCCATCCTTTTTTCTTTCTTCCTCTCATATTCTCTATTTTGTTTTTCTCATTCTATAGAAAATTAATATAAAATATTAAAGTGGTTTAACCGTAATTGTTTAAATATGAGAAGAGAGAACGGGAGACAATCCTACCCCCAAAAAAATGCCTTTGGATTGGAATGTTTGCTAGCAAATGCCAGAAATCTTCTCGATTATGTTTAGACTCAATAATTTTATTCGTTTTCTCTATAAAATATTTTCTTAATAGAAAGGAAAAATTGTCGCAAGCTTATTTAACTGTTGAATGAGAGAGGAAGAGGGGCGGCAAGCAGAGATAAAAGAGAGAATTGGTGAGTGGTGTGATTTCTTACCCTTTTTATTTATAGTAGTACAATCAGGAAATTATGTATTATTTATAGTAGTAAAAAACGAGATACATTACAATCAAGAAATTATTTTTAAAATGTTATAAATTCTATAGTGATTTACTAGAATTTACACAAATTACATGCTGCAACAAAAATAACATTTTTCAGGCCTTCTTTGTCCTTTATTAGGAAAATAATTACCGAACGTTTTTTCTCCTCCTACCTTCATGTCTGTTGTTTTCAATTGATTTACTTAATTCATATCCAATGGCAAAAAAACAAAGAGAGATGCATAAGAAACTAAAAAAATTGTGAAAATCAGCTCTAAATATAAAACTAAATATTTATCAAGCGATTAAAAAAATATTACCGAACAATATTCCATCCAGAATTGTGAATAAACATTTCCCTACGTAAGTATAAATAGCATCTGAAACTGAAACTTTTAGCAGTAAGAACACATACTATTACATTGTTTCCACTTTTACTGTTTTACATGGATAAAAGAAAAGAAAATTACTGCAGAGTTAATTCAGAATAATTTCTTCATAGCTATTGCCTTCCCAGTTGACATGACAGAGTACAACAATCAACTGTGGGAGCGATCACAATACAAAAACCTATTCCCCCAACACAAAACCGTTGGAGGATCACTCAACTCTACATCGCTCTATGATCCCCTCTGGACAGGATTTCGATGTTACAAAAACTAAAGTTAGCTCCTACCCGGCTGCTGATATCCACACGCATATTTTCCACTGTTCCAATTAACGAACCCTTGCAGCCCTACCGACAAATGTGACCTTGAAATGTAGGCGGAAGAAACCCTACAAGATAGCGAAAGAGATCAATCCCTCGACGATTCAGTTTGGGACAGAAAAATGAAACCAACGTAACAGACACCCTAGAGATGCAATTTCTTACTTGCTTGTCTATTTATGCCGCAGGCACCTGTCACGCCGAGCCAGTACCTTTCTTCCATAAGAATTCCCACGCAAGAAGTCGGAGTATAAACCAACCAGATTTAGTAGAGCTTCATGGTAGATACCCTGTTCTTGTGCAATAAATGAGATTTAAAAACCACACAATTGAAACTTAATCAAAATCGTCTAGGCTTCAAAGACAAAATGGACATATCAAAAGATCATTTCACAGCTACAGGGATCATAAGTTGATAATCAAGAAATGTAGAGTGCTAGGATAACGTATCAATTTAAACTTTCACAAAACATTATTATTTACAAAACGGATTTTGAGCCTTTTGCCTTTACATGGTGACCATATATGCACCCAAAAGAAGTCTAGAGACAGGGAGCTTAGCTAATTACGTTTACAAGTAAAATGAACAATACGGGCAAGTAGAAACATCCAAATGCAGTCCACCTTGCCGACACTAAATTCATATGTAATTAAAGAGAGTATGTCGAATGGATTAACACAAATATACATTATTGACCAAAAGGAGACACCATTTAACTCAAGCAACTCAATCGTTATTTGTACCGAAAAAAAAAGAAGAGCAAGTCGATACTTATTAGGACAATCACTTAGATGATCTAACCTTAGAAACCTCGAGTGCTGTCTGGATGACATAGTTCCCATACTGGTGAACAAGAAGCATTGACACATTTGGGTGGGTAACCAGCTCAAATATAATCTGTGAAGATTGTTCTTCGCTTGACTCAGACAAGCATTTCTCCACAACGCAACTACCGTACTTATTCAACGATACAGAAATATAACTGCCATGAAGTTGTCTCAAAAGATTTTGTGTGATTCGCGGGATCCTCAAACCCAGTAAATGTTGCACCACGTAGTTTCTAGGGTATCAGGAAAATAACGGAAAACATTAAGCAAAGATCCAGAGCAATATGTTAAAAAACTTAAGGACGAAGTTCCATAGGAACAAACCCGTAGCGATCTACTGCAAGTACTGTTGCTTTCCCTATGACAGCATTAACCAGGCGTTCTCTATTTTCACCACTAGAGTGCTCAACGCACTTTTGTAGCACACAACAGCCACTTTTGTCCTTCCCAATCGTAGAACAGTTAATAGCCACCACACATAGAAGGCCCTGCCAAAGAAAATGTGCCAGAAAATCAAGATATCATGTCCTGTACCTAGGTAGAGTGCATTCAAGAGCTAGTTACAAAGAGCTTCTAAAATGATGTTTTAAGCAATATGGAAAGATTGGTGCTTGTTGATCACTAAATCTTGTATCTGCAAGTGACATGCATGTCCCTTACTAGTTACGGTTATGAAGAAATTTTAAAATACAAACGTTGGATGTGAAAATATGATGTGGAACGCAATATGTTTTGGGAGTGGGACAGATCTTCAGGTGAAAACCGTTGATATGTGAAGTAACTATGAAAATAAAGATCATCTATCGAACCTAACGATCTACATAACCTTCAATTACAAGATTCCATCATGTGATTCATGGATACAAAAGTCATGTGCTTCGCCGACATATTTAGAAATAAAAAGCCCAAAATTGTGGTTGTTTAATTAGGGTTGAAGCCAGATTAAAAACGACTTCCAAATGGATGTATTTGAATGAATCACAACCAATAATAGCCAATTACAAATAACATTAGGTACACGGATGATAGTTTCCTGCTTTCGAAAGCTAATAAGCTATAGTTGCATCTCTTCACAAGCTGTGAATCGGCTTAAAAATCACAACTTTAATGATCAAGAGTAAGTACTTATCATGGATTCGTGCAACCTATAACGATCACGAAAAAGACATGAGCAGAACTAGCAAACATCAAGCATGTAAGACTAGCATAATAAAATACAAAGATAGTTACAAATGGCGTAAACAAGACAAGAAAATTACCCTGTTGTCTTCCTCAGAAAAATTCTCTAAGCAATATTCGATCACATGTTGGCCGTTGTTGTTCTTACTCAACACAGCGGCACCAGGGCTCAGAGCTCCCATAATCAGCGACACTTGCTCTTGGTTAGTAACATACCGCAATAATTTCTGTACAGTGCGAGTCCTGTCACAAGAAAGATAGGAACAATTACCAAACAATTATTTGGTCAGCAATCTTAAAAGTTAGAACAATTACCAACACATGTACAAACAACACTGCAACGGACTTGTAACTTAAGTGGTTAAGAGCATTTACACAGACCATACCCGCGATTGTCCAGGGCAATACAAACCAGTGACGTATGACTCTCCATTATCAACTTCGAAAGCATACGGGTCCTCTGCTCTTCAGTGCAGACCTCCACAAGCTTCTGGACGACATAGTTCCCGTGAGGGTCAAGCATCAAAACGACCACATTTTCCATAACCTCCAAGAATATCAAATCAATCACATCCCTGTTCGGTGCAACATCCATTGTTTTCTGCAGAAAACGACAGCCGTGCTGCTCCTTGGCCAAAGCAGCAATTTTTCCGCGCAAATCAGCCAACGACAACCGATCCAGTGTTTCACTAAACCCAGCAATGTCAGAATGCACCCAGCACTCTTGATTGGGAACAAAGCCATTCGAGCCATTAGTAATATCAGAGTCCACCCAGCAATTTTCAAGACCAAGGTTCCCAAAAACCCGATCCCCGCCGCTCTGCAAGCTCAGAGCACTCTGTAACGACTCTCCGCCTCCAAAAGGCAACGAATTTCCGCCGCTATATCCGTGTTCGCTTGATGGGTAGTTCAGCGCCGATCCATTACTGTGATCTCCGCCGTCAATGCCAGAAATACGCGGCTGCTGGCGGCTGAAAGCTGACACATTTAGGCGAGAAAAGGCAGCCTCCAGGGTTTGATCAGAATGGGATTCTCCCCCAATGTGGTTCTGCGACGATGAGCTTCCGGGCACACATTCTGGCGACGAAAATTTCGGAGCCCAAAGCGACTTCGTTTCCGGGAAGCACCGAAAACCCTCCATTCTCCCGCCTCAACAGGGATGAGATTCCGACTCTGGAGTCTTGAGAGAGAAAAAGCTTCGAACTTTCGGAGGTTTTTTGAGAGATAGGGGGATTCTGAAATTGCGATGGGGGAGAGACTGAGAGGAAGATTCTTAATTGGGGGGCAATTGAAAAACAAGGGGAAAAGCTTGACCAGTCAGAGACTGAAATGGGAAGTGAGAGAGTTTCAATAGGGGTGTGAGTTTGCATGCAACTTATGGAAAGTTTTCATGCGAGAGAGAAAGCGTGAAGAGGAAGAGAAAAAAGTGGCCAAATCTCTCTCTCTCTCTCTCCGTGTTCGGCGTTTGTCTGTCACCTCAAACATTGGTCCCCAAAATAAAATATTAAAAAATATTGGGGGTCTCATTGACCAATAGGATCATTGTACTTTTAAGGCTTTGTACTTTCTTTCTTTGTGAATTTCATTCTTTCTGTGTTTGTTTGTTTGTTTTTTTTTTTAAATTTAAATTTATGTGCGAAAGAAGAGAAAAAATAAGAGAGCTTTTCGAGTACGTTTGTGGGGAGGTATGAAAAGTTTGAGAGAAAAGTTGGGCTCCTTTTAACCGGTTGACAGCAAGACCTGTTGCCTATAGTGTCAGACATAAAAGAATGGTCATCTTAGATATCTCGTGATCGTGATCGTTCATTGTACATCGTGTGATCAAAAATTATTTTAAAATTTAAAATTAAATATAAATAGTACTTAATGAAAACTGATTACATAATGTACGATAAATAGTTACGATCGCGCAAACTCAATACCAATAATAATTGCTGATAGTTCTAGTGTTATTTCTGCTCTTCAATCATCTGATTTTGATCATCCTTGGCCTCTTCATACGCAATGGTCTATTTGTTTGGATCGCATTCGAAAAATGACTTTCTACGCATCTCACATATATCGAGAAGGAAATCTTGTTGCGGACAATTTTGCTAACATGGGCTTGTCTTCTCCATCTTTAACATGGCATGATTCTCCTCCGATGGCGGTTCGTGCTACTCTGTTTTCTGACTATGTTGGCTTGCCTGGTTACCGCTTCTCAAATTAATGTGCATGTCGGCATCCAGGTTTGTCTCACTTTCCTTTTTTCTCCTATCTTTATGGTGTTGTTTGATTTGTTTTGCAGGTTTAGACCTTCATGTTTGGTTCTAGAGGGGTTAGGTTTCATGTCCCCCCCTCTTTTCTTTGTATCATTCTCATTTTTTGTTTCTAGAAGGGTAAGGTTTATGTCCCCCCTTCTTTCTAGTGTATTCCTTTTTGTTATCTCTGTTTTTTGGAGGGGTAAGGTTTATGTCCCCCTGACTAGGTGTACCTTGTTTTTTCGTTATCAATAAAATTACCCTCGTACCGTCGAGGTTTTCCGAAAAAAAAAAAAAAAAAAAAAAAAAGTTACGATCACGCAGAATCCATCCCTAAAAAATTGATCCGACGATGATCATTTTCCCTCTCTAGGCTCTGCTTGAACGCATACCCTCCCCGGAGGGTTGACCATCATTAGTTTATTACACTGCCTCCTTTTCACTATTTTCATTGATAAATAATAATAAAAAAAAACAAAAAAAAAAAACTAGCTAGGGACTAAGCTATAACCCGCAACGACCAATTGATCGATGATAAAATGAAATGTAACAAGCATAGAACAAAGTTTGAAACCGTAAATCACATGTGACAAGTATAATTATCTGCTACTTGATATCCTTCTCAATAAATATGTGTACATGCAAACTGCATTTGACAAAAACGCTATAGAAGAAACAAAGTCGCCAAAAACAATTTTTTCAGTCCATATAAAAAATAAGAGACCGCATTAAGAGCCTTGAAAAAAATTTAATGAATCACCTTCCCGTCTTTGACAGAAGCTATACGCACGGTAGTACTAGTAGTTTGTCTCACATTCTTTCTTGAAATAAGACGAAAATATAGGCCTCTCGGGTACGTTTTGTGAGTCAATTTCCAATGATAAAAGACTAGGTACGGCAGTGAGTCTTATAAGCTGTGAGTAATTGATGTTCATGTTGTTCACAGGAATTATTGCATGTACTGCTTACTTTTCAACTTAGTAGTCCAAAGACTAATGCTGGTGACAGAATGGATTCTACATATTTTTGATGTTATAGGTCTCACGTCATGTGAAAAAAGTCGAGATGAAATTGGAAGGAAAAATGAAACGTTGGTGTCTCTTGTATTTATTGATTTATCACGTTGATTTGTGCGATGTTGTTGGTCTCTAATGCAATGATGTATTGTGCGTATCAACTTTGGTAATACAAAATTCAAAGCAAAAGTTGAATTATTAAGTATGAGTAAGACTAATTGAATTATTAAGTATGAGTAAGACTAGACGCACTGACTCTTTTTTATTGTTTTTGCATAGTGACCTATAAAATTTTGAGATCATATAGAATCAGTGGCATATCTAGCGTCAGATCTTAACAATTTGCCTCATTTAGAATTTTTCTAGGCATGTCAAATGTTGAGTTTTACAATATGGTTGTGTTCAAAGATGCAGTCCGCATATCAAGTGTCAAATTGAGACCCTCCCGCAATCGGTCTGTTGATCTACAAAACCGTTGTTTGCTGCTTAAAAGTTAAAACTGATCATTTCATTTCAAACAATCATTCATTGGTCCTTATTTACCACACACCAAACTGCTTGCTTTCTATTGAGTTTTAAAAAGATCCGACAATGTTTCCCTTTGTTTTTCGGCTTGCACGGTTGCAACCCCATCATGCTATAAGTAAGAACATCCACAATTCAACCAAAATTATCAGTCAATAAAAATTTTCTTGTTTTTTTTTTTTTTTTGCATCAATGTTTAGTTTTGATTACCAAATTTTTACTGTATTGATGTTCAAGACTTTCTTCATCGTTTCATCAATTTTCTTCGGTGGTCTCATCTTTGTCACATTACCATTTGGGGAAAAACTTCATACTTGACTAGATCATACTGAATGAAAAAACTTTTTGACTAAAGGGTTAGAGGGTTAGATATTGTTAGATATTCAGAAAGATATGTTACTGATCAATTCTTAACCACATCGATATTGTCTCAACTTAATAATTTATTATTAGGTGTTAAGTTTTATCATAAAATATAGGGAACTTTAATTAAAAGCACCTGGTACTGTCACTTTAACGAAAAACCACATTTTTACACTAAAAAGTCAATCCTGGTACTATTCACTTTACCCTTTATTTTGTCCTTATCATTAAAACTCAAAGTTTTCAAGCCCTTTTCATTAGTTTTCCTTAAAATATATTAGTGTTGTTAAAAGTAGAACCATACACGTATATATTGTATTTTATTTTCTCAATTCTCTTACGTGTGACTTATATTCAACGGAGGAGGATTCTCCTCCTTCCTAATCTCTCTTTCCCTTTTCCTCCCCTCATATTTGAACGGTCACGGTTAAACCACGTCAACATCTTATATTGATTTTTTTATAAAGACAATAAAACAAAAAATAATGTGTGAGAGGAAAAGATGGAAGGGGATGAGAATAGGAGGAGAGCGAATTCTACTTCATAGTCAACAGATATTTGCTATGCAACTCAGAGAGGTTATATCACCCATGCATTGGAACCACAAGCTAAAACCTTCTTGAGGATGGTGTAGAAGTCTTCTTAAAGAAGACTCTCTAGCCTAGCCTTACAAGTAAGAGGGTTAGATATTGTCAAATATTTAGAGAGACATGTCACTGATTCACTCTTAACCACATCAATATTGTCTCAACTTAACCATCTATTACTAGGTGTTGAATTTTATCATAAAATGTCTCAGTGTTATTAAAAATAGAATCATACACGTATATATTGTATTTTATTTTCTCAATTCTCTTATGTGGGACACATTCAATAGATATTTCTCAGGGATCAGGATCCTCTCCTGAGCTAAGGATGAGGATCCTCGTGACCAAAAAGTGTTCATCCAACGGCTATAATTATTATAACTTTAAAGAGACCCCCTATTTGTAACCGTTGAATTTTCATCAAACGGCTCACACTCCTTGGTCACGAGAATCCTCATCCTCCTGATCCATTTCTCAGAGTGGTTATATCACCCTTGCGTTGGAACCACAAGCTAAAACCTTCTTGAGGAAGGTGTAGACTAGCCTCACCCTTTGTAACATACACACTCAAACAGTAAAATACAATACAAATACGACTTATGAGTGAACTACTCAAATTTTCTTGTGTTATGCCAATGTTTGTTTGTTGATCTAACCCTATTTTAGCACGAGCAAATCGTACGCATGTTGTAATCAGAACAGTTTCATTATCATAATCATCGCACAAAAAATCGTTCCACAAAATTTGGAAATCGTTTAATCGATTATGTACGGAAGAAATAATTTAGTTTTGGAACCATTCATTAAGGTCTACAAAAAGTGATTAAATTTGTCTGCCTGCATAAATTTTATTAAACTAAACTTTAAAGGGTCATTATATTCGCACATCAATTTACAAAAACGATACAAAAACAGTTGTCCAAACTTCACTTCCTCATTTTGTATTAACCCATCCTCTCAGAGGAATAAGAACTTACCAGTGTTACCATGGTACATGATAAAACTGTCACCTCAAGAATAACAAAGCAATTCGTTCTAATTTCTAAAGTTTAAAGAGGGGAAAGCTACATCTGTTACGGTGAAGGAAATTCATCCCAAATGTTGCAACGATGCTTTGTCCGTCCTCTAAAATGGAAAAAAGAATATTCCGTTCTCACTTTCGACCCGTGCAAAATGACTCTGTGTAGCTCCATTTTGCAAAGTTATTCAGTTGTCTGAATTTGTATACTCACTTTAACATATGCACCAAGGTTAGAGAATGTTATGTCGAAAGAATGCTTCGGTCCAGAAACAGTAGATCAGAGACCTCATGCCTAACTGGCTTGCTTTGGTCTGCAGCAGCACAACTCAGAAGTTCCGTGCTTCTTGCAATCTCGTGTGGATGTTGATTCAGCTACCTGAATCTGCCAACCTCTTGGACAGTGAACTGAAAAAAGTATAAGGAAGAACACCACTCCGTGAAACAAGATATATGACAAATGTTACATACGCAGCCGTGCCACTGCAGACCACAAGAGCAAACAGCACTCCTCTAACTTCAGAAATGAAGAAATCCAACAACAGATAACCATTGATCACCATCACCAAAACAGCCACAGTCCATGCCACTTTCTGCAACATAGATCTTGTCAATGAAATGCTTTACTTAACTAGTATCAATCCAATTTTCAGATTACAAAAAGTAAATGTTTTTTTAGCGTGCAAAATGAGCTGCTGATAACCATAGGATTAGATGTTTTCTCTTTAGAGTCCAAAAGAAATATGAAAGCTGAATTTGGGGATTTCAGAGCGATCCAAGATCAATATCAATCATGACTAGTTATTACTGAATAGATGAAGCAAAAACTATATAACGAAACGACTGTTCACTTAAAGCTATAAAGAGTATGGCCGAAAAGATAGAATAACGAAGTTAACAACATACCTCGAGAACAGGTCCAATCTTAAAGACCCCCATGACCTGCTCCTTGGACACCAAGGTAAGAAGTGGAATAAGAGCAAAAGGAATCTGAATCGACTGAAGGACATTGAGCCATTCATTCAAAACATCCAACGAAGCCTCAGATCTGTTAAAAATAATTGCTACAATTATAGTAGGCACAATTGCAAAACTCCGTGTGATCAATGCCCTCAGCCACTTCTTCAAACGGAGATTAAGGAATCCTCCCATTATAAACTGCCCAGCATACGTCCCCGTAATTGTGCTACTTTGTCCAGCCGCCAATAACCCAATACCCCAGATATAAAGAATCGGATAAAGCCCTCCTCCATACTTCTCCTGAAGAAATTGACCTGCATTTACTAGTCCTATACTGTCAGCTTGTTTCGTACCATAGAATCCCTTTGCAAAAACAGTGGTGACAAACAAATTGATCATGAAGGAGATCAAAAGTGCAATTGATGACTCAATTGAGTAGTAGTTTAGTGCCTCTTGAACCCTTCCTTTCTTGTTCGGATCAATGTTTCTTGACTGTACCAGAGCAGAATGCAAAAATACGTTGTGTGGCATAATGACGCAACCCACAACTCCCACAGCCTGCCGAATTGTTTTTGAGCTAAGTCTTGGAACCACAATACCTGCGAGGAGGAGGCAGTGGATCAACACATATCAGTACACCCCATAGTATTATAGTTTACTAATTTCAACATGTACTTTGCATAATAAAGTACAATTTTTACCCATTAGAAGTTCTTTCCCACTCGGTTTTGTGTCAACAAACATCCAGGCAAACGATAAACCCATAGTTGCTATGAGAACTGCAAACACAGCTTCCAACTTCCTCACCCCATAG